CCCAGACTCTATCTCAAATTATCTCAAATTATCTCAAATTATGTCAAATTATCTCAAAACACTCACCCAGACTCTATCTCAAATTATTTGAAAACATCTCAAACTATTTGAAGACACCCACCCAGACCCTATCTCAAATTATCTCAAATTATCTCAAATTATCTCAAAACACTCACCCAGACTCTATCTCAAATTATCTCAAATTATTTCAAATTATCTCAAATTATCTCAAAACACTCACCCCAGACTCTATCTCAAATTATCTCAAATTATCTCAAGTTATCTCAAATTATCTCAAATTATCTCAAATTATCTCAAAACACTCACCCCAGACTCTATCTCAAATTATCTCAAATTATCTCAAATTATCTCAAATTATCTCAAATTATCTCACATTATCTCAAATTATCTCAAATTATCTCAAAGTATCTCAAATTATCTCAAATTATCTCAAATTATCTCAAATTATCTCAAATTATCTCAAATATGCATGTGACATGAAGCGAGTTGAGATATTTTGAGATGGCTTTCCCGAAAAGTGGCGGGCATAGACTGTGAACAAGCTGAAAGTTGTGAGACTCTTTGAGGTAAATTTGTTAAAAAGTGGCGGGGGCATACCAAGAATGAGTTGAGACTTTTTGGACACTCAGATATAACTTTGTTAAGCAGCTTTGGGCCCACACAGTCAACAAGCTCAGCACGTTGAGGCACTTTGAGATAAACTCGCCAAAAAGTTCTTAATGTTGAGGGAATTTTGATGGAATGTTTAGGGATTTCAGGGAATTGTGCGGGAATCTTGCCGGAAGTTCAAAGGAAAATTGAGGTGATTTTGAGAGGATGTTGAAGGACTTGTGTGGGAATTGCGCGGCAATTATGAAGGACATTTGCAGGAATGCTGAGGTGTTTGTTTGTATGTTGATGGGATGTTGATGGGGTTTTGATGGAATTTTGATGGAATGTTGTTGGGATTGTGAGGGAAGTGTACTGGATGTTTGAGGGGAACGCGCTGGGATTTTGAAGGAAATGTGATTGAGGTGAACGTGGAGTGAATTTTGATGTGATTTCGAAAAAGGCCTCGCGGTGATTTTTGATGGAATTCCGAGGGAATTGTTGAGGGAATTGTTGAGGGAGTTCTGAGGGAATTGCGAGGGAATTGTGAAGGAATTTTGAGGGAATGGGGAGGGCAATTTCGGAGCCTGTTCGTCAATGATTGATATTGACAAAGGGTATCACTGCAAGCCATGATCGGGCCCGTTCATCTTCTGGAAAATCAACAACTTAAGGCGGCGCAAGCGGAACAATTGGGTCTAACTGTTGCTAATGCGAACGCACAAGGGTAAACAACAAACACAACACACACACGCGCACGACTAACACAACAAACCCAACACACGCGACAAACACAGCGTACACAACAAACGAAACAACAGCAACAACAGCAACAACAACAACATCACCACCACCACCACTGCCAACAACAACAACAGCAGCAGCAGCAGCAGCAACAGCAACAGCAACAACAACAACAAACAACAAACAACAAACAACAAACAACACCCAGCAAACAACTAACAAGACACAAAAACAACAACTACTACCACTACAACAACAACTGCAACTACTACAACAAGTGCAACAACAACTACAACTGCAACTACAACTACAGTTACAAATGCAACTACAAGAAACGACAACTAACTACAACTGCAACTGCAACTACAACAATAACTACAACTACAACTGCAACTACAACTACAACTGCAAGTGGAAATCCAACTACGACCGCAACTACAACTACAAGCATCACTACAACTACAACTACAACTGCAACTGAAGCTACAACTACACCACCGCCACAAACAACAACAAAGCAAACAAACAAACAAACAAACAAACAAACCAACCAACCAACAAACAAACAAACAAACAAACAAACGAACAAACAAAACAAAACAAAACAAACAAACAAACAAACAAACAAGCAAACAAACAAACAAACAAACACACACAACAAACAAACAAACAAACAAACAAACAAACAGAGAAACAAACATACAAGCAAACAAGCAAACAAACAAACAAACAAACAAACAAACACAAACACAAAAACAAACAACAAACAGCAAACACAAAACAACAAACAACAAACAACAAACAACAACCTACAAACAAAGAACAACTAACACCAAACAACAAACAAACACTAACATACCAACAACCAACAACGAGCAACAAAAAGACAACACCCACACCCACACACCAGGCCCTTCTCAAACAACACACCTTTACCAACGGATTTGGAGGCCTCATCAAACAATAAAAAATAATCATTATTATAGAATTGAGTGACACACACTTAATGCATGTTGTATGTTCTTGCATGTGTTTGTCCTTGTTTGCATTTGTGTCATGTATGTTTGCATTGTTTTTGCACTCTTTTTGTATTTTTGTATTTTGTTGCATTTTTTGCATTTTGTTGCAGTTTTTTGGGCATTTTGTTGCATTGTGTTTTTTGCACTTTTTTGCACTTTTGCACTTTTTTGCATGTGTTTGCACTTTTTTGCATGTTTTTGCACTTTTTTGCATCTTTTTGCATTTTTTGCATCTTTTTGCACATTAGATGCAAAAATAAGATCATTTGAGATAATTTGAGATAATTTGAGATAATTTGAGATAAATTGAGGTAAGGTCTAAACCCCATGGATCTGGGACTCTTAATATAATTACTGATATAGCAACCTGCTGATCGCCGTCTCCATATCCAAGGGCTTTGCAAGGAGCAGGGTCTTCGGCTTCATCAGAAGATCTACGAAGGGCTGGAAGAGGCTCCACCATGCAAACCTGTACTTTCATCGTCAGTGTGATGAATCCATTCAACCTCATCATTACTAGGGACTCAAAATGATCTGCGCCGCCGGGGCAAGGGAGATCTGTCTCTGTTGGCAAGGAAAACAGCTGCACGACGGCGCGGAAGAGGAGGCCTGACAGAAGCCGAGGGCGATACGCCTGTAGGGCTCCTTGATCGATCCCGAGTGCCAAGGGGCTGCTCCAATTCTGCTTGTTCATACGGCAGATCACCCTGATCAGGATCTTTCCACTCCACCGAGTCAAACAATTCCGGCATGATTGTATCCTGCACCAAGTATACTCCATTCCCTGCACGATAAATAGGTATATTGTGATCGTTGAGCGTCTTTGACCGTATGTAGATAAATACCGTGCAGCTCTGTCGCAACTGATTCTCGACTGATGTACGGTCTGAGGCATCGACAAAATGTATGTGCTCTCTCTTGCGGCTGTCCAGTCCAAGAGCTGTAATCCCAGGCATACAAGTGGCTCGAGTTCCATGTACAAGTAGCCGAGGCAGTTCATGAAGCTTGGGCAGAGAGGGTTTCACCTGCACACCTGCGGAGTGACCAGCCACAGCTTTGATCTGAAGGCTTCCATCCGGGGCAGCATCAAGGTGAAAACGTTGCTTCTTGTCAGTCTTCACGATGTCCTTGATCAAGTCCTCTGTCAAAGAAGGCTTGTGCCACTGCAAAGCCTGAAGGGGCGTGTAACCTGATGCATTGATACGTAGCTGCAAAGGCTTTATACCGTGCCTCAGGGCGTAGCTGAGCCACCGAGATAGCTTGTACTTCTCCTGAGATGTGGAAAAGCTGCTTTGCACATCATCATGGATAAGAAAAGGCTTGCACGGCCGTTGCCTGCGATGTCGCCTGGGCATCCAGTCTGCATTCACCAATGTAATGGGCCGATGTACAAAGGAGGCTTCGTCAAAATCCAAGTGAGTATAAGGAGCGATCGCCCAAGGTCGAGGGCTGCCAGTCTTATAGATGCTCACTCCATACGCAGCCTCAAAATGCTGATTACAAAGCAGGATGTGCACTATTCTCGCATGCTCCTGACCATACTGAAACAAAATCGTGCGCCCTTTGATGATGCCCATACTGTTGCTATCAGATTGTACGATGCAGATTTCGACGCCAAGCCCCTCCGCTGCAACCTGAGTGGCTGTCTGATCAGCCCAAGTGTAGGATTTTCCATACTTAGCGGCATCAGCGTGCCCAGAAAGGGCTTTCTCCTTCAAGGCCCGCCAGGATCGAGCGCTCCCACAAAGATGTTGTGAGAGAGACTTCCAAAAGCAGGCACCTCTCCCAGAGTTGGGCGTCGTGCGAAGCCGGCAAACAACATCCTGAAAGCAGGGATCCCCCGGTGCCCAGACCTCCTCCGTGTTCCACTCATTCGTCGCGCAAAGCTGCTTATACGGCGCCAGCTCAAAATGAAGAAGGACAAAAAACCACCTCAATCGACCGACCCAAAGCTGCACGATGTCCATGCAAATACGCGCCCCGCTGCAAAAGACCCAACATCCAAAAAGGAGCGCGAGGTCAAAGCCCATCAATGCCCCCACAAAAATGTTCTTCCACCAGCGAGGGTGGGGCCAAACCAACATGGCATGCCGGGCACAATAAACTGGGATATTTTGAGTCGAGCCAATGGTCCCATAGCGGAGAAATAGATCAGAGCAAATCTCAACAAGCTTGAAAAGCGAAGCGAAAAGAAGGAACAGATCAAGATGATGCCAAAGGAGAATGGAGAACTGTTGAAACAGTCCCAGAATACCAGCGAACATGACGATGCAAACGGTAAGAACAGATGAAATTCGACAGTAGATCCACAACAGAGTAAGCCCTCCCAAAATGAGAAGAAATTCTTGGAGGGCAGGGGTATTGACACAGGCGCTATAGTGGTTGTAAAGCAACAAAAGACCAGCAATCGCGACCCAACCCGCCCGTTGTACCTTCTTGTCAAAGACGTAGGTAGATGCCACGAGCAGAGAGACAATGCACCACGAAGAAGAGGAGCTGAAACATACTGCAATCACAATACAAATAAGAGCTCCTCAAAGATGATCATCACGAATAAAATCAATAAATAGAAGAATACACCGAATACAATAGGCGTGGAGGTCAGAGGTTGCAATACATACACCCCACCATCGAAGCGGGTCTCCAAGTCGAAGCTCATCAGGTTGTAGAAGAGCATAGTATCCAAGACGCCGTATACCTGCAACGCAATCAGAATGAGATTGCCGAGATGCGAGCATTGGCCGGATAAACGTTGAATGTATTTGAGGAAGAGAATCAGAAAAACAGGTAAAACCCTGGGTAAGGTCTTGCTCCACATATGATCACTGAAGAAGATAAGAGAAGGGTCATAGGAGTCGTGAAGGTAAGAGTCAATGGAGCAATTGCTGAAGACTGACAAAGTGTAAGAGGAGGAGAAATCACAATCAAGGAAAGATCTGTAAGATCCAGAAGGAGAGAGTGCGCCGCAAGATGAGTAAATAAATACCCACAATGTCATCCCACAAGTCAGTAGATAGTCCAGTTTGCCCGGGGAGGGCGCCATAGGTGATCCCAAGAACACCTAGGCCTAAACTACCTAACGCCAAAGGCGAATGGAGCGCCTTGAGGGACAATGGCTCCACCGGCCATGGCCATGAATCACTAGGACAGCTTCGCAAACTTCTGTAAACGGGTCCATGACCATTTCCAGTGCCCCCCAAGTAAGCCATGGCTACCATTGTTGTCTAGATAAAGATAGCCCCAAGCTACAGCAACAGCAAACTACCCATTTGCCCATAATATGGTTTCGGTTTGTTGGCCGCAAAGTCAGGGGGTCACCATACTCCCTCCCCCAAACATTGCCATTGAGGAAACAGACCAGTTGACATAACCATTCAACCGCCTCCAAAAACAGGAAATAATACAAGGGCCCGGCCTCCTGGCCCCTGGATTCGGTCCTGGCAGTCCAAGAAACGAGAGGTTTGCCTGTGGTTACCTAGTGGTCTGTTACTCCCTGGACAAATTCAAGCTTTCAGTGGCAAAACAAACATACCTCCCTCTAAAGTCTAAAAGTCTACGGGTATGCCTGGGAAATGGTCGTCCCAGAGAGTGACTAAAGTCCAAGAACTCAGGAAGTGAGACATACATGCAGAGGGACACCAACAGAAACCATCGACCAATCTTCGACGGCTGAATGATCTGAGAACATTTGTTTCTCCCCCAGACCCTCGAGGCGCAACCCTGGAAACTTGAGGAGCGGGTGAACGAAAGCTAGGAGTTGTTGCATGAGGTGGGTCGGTGACAGAGTGGATTCATAGGTAGCTTGTGTACAACGAGAGGCCCGGCAAGATTCGTAGGATGCGACACGCAAACGCACATGGTGGCGTGGCAAACCTTGAAAAATGAAAACAACGAGAGGCGTCAGAAGCTGTCTGCAAGCACCTCTGGGTTCTGCATGCTGCGTGTGCAAAGATTCTTGCGAGGTGGTTTACCGAGAAGACTGAGGTCTCAAATGAACAAGCTGAATCGTGGAACATGTAAAAGTTCGTAGCACCAAGTCCAAAACGGGCAAACCGAGACTGCTGAACACTGAGCCACTGCCCGGGGGGGGGGGGATGGACCAGGGAGGAATCGAGCCTGAGACCGGGGGGGGGGGGGAAAAAATAGAAGAAGTAGGGGGCCTGGGGGGAAGTCTGTTGAGGGTTGCCTGTTATGGTTTTTATGTTCATCTCAAATCTGTGTTCCCCCTTATTCGTTTTTAAAAGAGGGTTTTTAGGGAGCTTATTTATCGTTTTCGTTAAGGTAATCATTTTGGTAATTGTCCCCCTTGTTCATTGTTGGGCTGGGGGCAAACATTTTTTTCATTTGAAAGAGTTGACCCTTTTAGTAGTTATCAAGTTCTGGGGTGTTGCTGGGTCGTTTGTTTTCTTTGACGTTTATCTCTACAATTATTTATTTTCGCTCTACACTCTTGACAATATTTATATCTTTTTCCACTTTTTACATTTCCAAATTCATCAATTGTTTTATCATAAAGGCATCTGTTGCATTTGAAGAATTCACCATAGTCTTCTGTTGCTTTTTCTTCTGTCATTCCATAATTATTCATTATAGTTTGCTTCACAACCATTTCTTAATATATCTTAACAACTTCTTTTTATGTGATTTTTATGTGATTGTCTAGCTATGTTTTATAGGTTAAAAGTTCAGTATAATTATAACATATAAGATTTTACATGTTATTATTATATTATGATTATAATTTCAGTTCAGGATAATAATCTAATTGGTTTGTCTTACTTCTTTCATACATCATTTTAAAAATAATATTAACATCTCTCATTGGCTAGGGGGTTGCTGGTCGGCTGGTCTGGGTTTCAGGTTTAATTTAAATGTCTTAACCTTCTTGTTAGATTATAAAACAATGTTTAATCATATTATAAGATAATAATATTAATAAACAAAAGTTAATTTGACCCGTATTCAATCTCACCAGCGATACAACCACTATAACAACTCATACTATACTCACAAAAATAATGCTCGTATCCTTTTATTAATTGGTCTGTGTAAATTTCAATTAAATCGCTAAGAATATGTCTCAAATAATAATTGTTATTTCTATATGACCACCAACTGTTTAGGTTTGGAAAGCAAAATCCATTTTGTTTCCAATATTTTAATTCTTCAACTTTAAGACAATGTTTTAAAACTACACAAACTTCATATTCATTATTCTTACAGTATGATTTTAATGCTTGATAATACATTTTTCTATTTTTAAACCGTTCTTTAACTTCTTGTATATCAAATACTCTGTCAATGTTTTTTCTGTAATGTTTTAAACTAAAATGGTATCCTGTTAGTTGTGTAATATCATTATTTTGTATTTGTTGAATAATGTTTAACTGAAGCTCTGCTTTTTCTAGTCCTTCTTCAGGAATGTTTTTATCACTCATAAAATGCTCTTCTTCTTCTATCAAATACCGACAATCAAAACATGTTGGTTTAATACAACCACCTATAAGATTACAAACATCAACAGGTAAAATATTAGCTAGTGCCACGACAGACTTAAATTTTTTATTTTTACAAGGACATTTATCATAATTAAACAGTGTCATTTTTTTTTCTTACTATATTATATCCATTTTTCTTTAAGTAGTTTGTATTTTATGTTAAGGGGTGGGGCTTTATATTGAAAAAATATTTTCTAACAATTTAATATAATGGCGAGATTAACAAAAGACCAAATAATCAGCAACATCTATTACGACTTAGACGAGGGTTTCGGAAGCACACAAGCGACACACAAGAAGGCAAAGGAAGAAGACCCAACAATAACATTAGACGATGTAAAGTCTTTCTTAAAGAAACAGCCAAATAAACAAATCAAAAATTATAGAGGAACTAATTCCTATACCGCTCCATTCGCACGATATGAATATCAAATAGACATAATGCATATGTCTCCTTTAGCAAAAGACAAGAACGTTCCACAGTATGCTTTAGTCGTGATTGACATCTTCAGTAAATTAGCAGATGTAATACCGATGGAGGAAAGAGACGGAGAGAACGTTTTGAAGGCGTTGAGAGCAAGCTTTAAAAAGATGGGTTATCCGATGTCCGTGTATTCTGATGACGACGGAGCGTTTGCAACTAAAAATCACGTTCAGGATTTCTTCAACAGTGAAGGAATAAACCACATCGTTACGAAGACCCACGCAAATGTGGCCGAGCGTTTTATTAGAACGATGAAAAACAAAATTCACGATAGAGTTAGGTTTAACAACATGAAATGGACCGACGCCCTAACGCCGGCATTGAAACAGTATAACAGCACATCTCACTCATCAACAAGGATGACACCGTCTGAAGCACACAAGGACGACAATGAAATAAATGTAAAGGTCAATCTTAAACTACGAGAAAAAAACAAAAGAAAGTATCCCAGAATAGTGGAGAACGACAAGGTAAAAGTGTTTCAAAAGAAAAGGGGTAATTACACCGACAGAAAGGAGTATAACTCTAAATGGTCTAATAAAATATTCAATATCGATAAAATTGAATATGATATTATGGGTAATAAAACTTACAAAGTAGCAGAAATAAACAAACCGCTTTTGAGACACGAAATTTTGTTAGTTAATGATTAAACATTAAGTGTTTATATATTATGAATAAACCCCTGTATCTTCATCATAGTCAATTTGATAAAATGTCATAGTTGAAGCCTTCGGTTCTTTAATTTCTTTGTTATTAAGTTTGTTTAAATAAATATTTCTTTTATTTTTATATTCAGCTCTGGTTCTATCTACTTCCTGACTTTGATAACTGTTTGTTAGTGGTTTCTTCTTTTCCATTTCTTGTAAGATTTCCAAAATATTATTATTCTGTTCTAAAACCTTTTTTAGTTGTTTAACAATCTTATCTAATCCTTCAGCCATGTAAAATATATACTAAATTATAAAACTAAACTTTTAAAACTAAATGTTGCAATTATGTTAAATCTACTCTTTAAATACTAATTTTTCATTATTTGTTTAACAGTTTCCTGTGTTTCCTTATCACCATTATCGGATGGTGATGCATGCCTTCCCCATTTGATAGCAATATTATGAACATCTGTTTCTAAATTGATACTGTCTTTGGTTTTATCGATATTTATTCGTTTATCGTTTTTACTTAGTTTGAAACTTGTCGGAATACACGAACATTTACAATTTCCTTTCTTTTGAATTTCTAATTCATTTTTCATTTCTAACATCTTTTTACACATTGGACAAGCAAACTCAATAACTGCTGTTTTATTAATAACTTCTTCACTATCTTCATCTGTTGAAGAAACAACTGATTCTGTCTTATTCTTTTTCTTTCTCCCCATCTATATTAATATTTATATTTTTAATATATTGTATCACAAACTTAATTAATTCTAAAACAAAATAGCATACTTTTTTAAATCTATTATCAGTTAGTATTACTTGTTCTATATTTTCTACTTTATCTATTATATCAATATAATCCGAATAACTTCTATTCATATAAAATAATAAATATAAAATATTTTCTAAATAACTTTAATATTATTTTATTATGTCTGATGTTCCAATAATAAAACCAATAAATATAACTGATTACGATTTCAAACAATCTAAATATGAACATGTACCAAAACTACCTTTTCGCTCAATTGTTGTTGCTTCATCAACGGGTGGCAAAACAGTTTTAATTCAAAACCTTATCCTAAATGTTTATAGGGACTGCTTCGCCCGTATATTCATTTTTAGCCCGTCGGTTCATAATGACCCTACCTTCGTTGAAGTCAAGAAATATCAAAAAGATAATATGAAGGTTGATGACGAAAAAGAAAAGTTATATTATGACACCTACCAACCTGAAGAACTGGAAGAAATAATTAACACACAAAGAAAGATAATTCATTATATGAAAGAACAGAAGATGAAGAAACTACATTCAATTTTAATCATTGTTGATGATTTTGCAGACGACCCTAAATTTGTTAGATACAGCAAGTTATTACATGGACTGGCAACGAGAGGCAGACACGACGCCATTAGTTTTTGCTTAAGTGTTCAAAAATATCGTGTCCTTGCTCCAATCATTAGGTTGAATTCTAGTTCGTTGTATATCTTCAAGTTAAAGAATGTATCAGAGTTAATGTCATTCATTGAGGAAAACTCCGCCATCGTTGATAAAGAGCAACTGTTAAATATGTATCATAAAGCGGTAGATGATAAACCATACTCCTTCTTTTATGTTAATATGAATTCCAAAGATGTTAATAATATGTTTTATGTTAGATTTGAAAAAGCATTTAAAATAAAGTAAATATATTATATATATTATGGTATTTTATTATTTACCAATGGAAATTAAAAACATAATAATATCGTATATTTTAGATGATTTTAGATTATTAAAAATAAAAAATAAT